CAATCATATGTAGCTCAATCATCAAAGAAAGCAAAATATATCTCATCCGGAGTCGTATCTCAAAAATTGATATAAAGGACTTCTAAATGAATTCGAAATTTGTGAATCAGTGGTACTTTTATGGTTGAGGAAAATTAGGATCTGTCAAGAAGTCAGTTTATTTTATTTAAAAAAAAAAAGAAACTGAAAATGTTTTAAGTACTTTCTCATCAAAATACCCATACTTTCTATCAGTTGGCTTCCTTCTTCGGGTGTTGTCCTTTTTCAGAGTTGGGCCGGGCATTCGCATGTTCTGCAATTTCCGCTGCGAATTCGCAAAGTCTGAAATTATTGTCTTCTTCTGTCTTGTTATTCAGCTTGAAATATGATTGGTTATTTGCCAAGTGACTGGGATAGCTTGAAGTTTGGACCTGGGATGCCCCTTCCACTTCCGTTCGCTAGTTTGGAGACATCTGCGTTCCACAACGAGGCGTTCGCTGTAGCTACTCATTTTCTCATGATTGAAAATCGTTTATTATTACTGCGAATGGAATATCTAGGTCCAGTGAGACCGTCATTTAATTAAGGCTAATTTAACTTGATCTTTTTGCAGGAATAATGTAGGTTTCTCAAGATGGCTACAATGTCAAATTATTGAATTGTACTTGAACCACCTACAATTTCTGTCATAGTCAACTGCTGCGTTGAGGCGCTTCGAAAAGTTTTTCGACAGGCTAATAGGCTGAGCGCTTACATATAGAGGGGTAGAGCAATCAGGTCTATCAGACAATTCTATCAGTTTCTGAATGAATTGTCAGATCTTTGAGTGTTGCTTCGGATGTGGATTCGATCGGAGAAGTAGCTACGCATTAAGCTTCATTGATCGATTGCGATTCTGGCTTACTCATTACAAATACGAACGTTCCAGCAAGGTCTAGAATTCCCTTACCGGAAGGATTCAAGTAACATCCAGATTTTTTCCATAAAAAAATACCCAGGTTTTATCCAAATAACACTCTAGGGAACATGCAGGTGCCATTCGAATACTATCGAGGTCTTAGACATCTTAGACAAGGTTGTTCCTTGTGACTAAAGATCCTTAATAAGAGAGATGAGAAGTTACCTAATGTAAACTACACCTCAACTTAGTCCCGGCAGTTTCTTTCCACGGCCTTCTATTAACGTACTGACATTGATCGGCTGTAGCTACAGTAAAGGAAGTTGTAGAATTGTGAACAGAACAGAAAAACAACTATTGCACTGAAGCCTTTACAGGGCATAATCTCCTTCTAAGAACCAGCAGCTATCGGATGACGCCGGAGATTAAACAAAAAGCAACCACACTCCGACCTATGTAAACTGTCAGTTCTGTTACCAACCTCAGATGTTTGACACATATTTTCCCTACTGCTTCTCAATAGACGCTTTCCGAATGATCCGATTAATCGGTTCGAACGGATTAGTAATCTCATCATTCGTAAAACGATCCGAAGTCGAGTACTCGCGTTCGGGAAGTGATCTAGTTGACTCGGTTTTCTCATATGTTTGTGATCTCGTTAACCCTGCTCTTGACGTGGGTAGAAAATTAATCTATCAGCTGTTTGTTTTTTTTGGTTATGTGTTATGTTTATTTTATATGTTTTGTCCAGTTTTGTGTTTAATTCTAGTGATTTGTTGTGTTTGGAGTGGTTTGCAGTGTCTTTGAAAAGTCAAAGGTAAAAACCTCCATAGTAAAGACCAAAGAACTAACCTCATCGTTGAAGGAACACAGTTCATTGAGAAAAACAAGCTCGGGTCGGGAGCCGGCGATAGTCGATCCCAATCGTTCGGAAACGTTGAATAATCTACTCTGAAAACGAGCTAAACCGCGATCAGAGGCGGAATTTTGTATCAGATAGACATCGGTATTGATATCGCTATGACACTTGGTGTCTTCTTTTCTCTTTTCAAAATCAATAAAGAGGGGACGTCAATAGAGATAGCGAAAATATATCTATTCGTTACAGAATCCCAGCCCAGTTGATATTAACCTACCCGATTTAGGATTTACATTTCCGAAAGCAACTAATGTCTACTGGGTACGTTTACACATTTGCTCTGAACCAAACTGCAAAACAGAGGCGTATCTTCTACTTTGTTTCTCATGTTTCATCCGCTCTCAAAAGACAAAGTCTTTACTACCTGAGCGGTTCCAATGAGCGGAAGAAATCAAGTGACGATTGACTCTCTATCCGAACATGTTAAGGTTGAATCGTTCAGGCAGAAATAGGAGGCATGGGGATTCAGATGTGGACAGTGCGCCATCAATAAGAAACCCTATATTTATTGGTTCTCGGGTTGGCTAACTTTTCCATATACGGATGGGATGCCTGTGAGCTTCTTGTGGTACTTTAATTACTTCTCCTAGCTGACATGAGGCTGGCCAGTCAAAACATCTATCATGGTAATAGCGATAGAAGGCGAGGAGTTCGGGTAATTCTCCGCGAACCAAAAGATGACATTATTAAGTTACGGAACTGGTCACAGAAGTGAATAAGTATTTTTCACGAAACAGGAAAACGAATTTGGCGATCGAAGATGCATGATCATGTCTAGACAAGTTGGTCAAGGTCAACAAAAGATACTGAAAGATTGATAGAGAGGTTTTGTCCCGACATCCTTGAAACTGAGTGAAGTGAGAAAACTGTTGCTTTTGTTTTGGAAGCATTGAATTTGACTAGGTTGTTAAGGCCCCAGTTGGTAATGGTCTCAAGATCGCACTGTTGATAGAGTGAATCTGTTCTTGAGCGGAAGATTTCTTATTTGAGAAAACTGTTGCTTGAGTTTTGGAAGCATTGAATTTGACTAGGTTGTTGAGGCCCCAGTTGGTAATGGTGTCAAGATCGCACTGTTGATAGAGTGAATCTGTTCTTGAGCGAGGCGCGTAGAAGTGGCTGCAGTAAGCGGTTTGTCAGAAGGCAAATATGCCATCGAGCTACTATCGTCCGCAAACCTGTGAATGGGGTTTCTTGTCACATTCACCAAATCATTTATACAAATGAGAAACAGTATTGGGAACAGAATTGGGCCTTGGGAAACGCCGGCATTTATAGGCAGTGTATCAGAAGACACACCATCCACCACGACATGCTGTGATCTGCCTTCCAAAAATCTCCCCAGCTAATGGCAAAATTCGTTCGGAAGACCATACGATGGAAGTTTGCTGAGGAGGCCTTTGTGTCACACCTGTTGATCAAAAGCCAACGCAAAAATTTTGGGTTCGCCATGTTTTTCGAGACTCCAGTTCCAAATATGACTGACGTACGGCAACAGATCCCCTGTTGATCTTTTGAAGAAACCCGTACTGTTTTTCAGAGATGAGTTTAGTGGCTTCGAGGTATTTAACCAGGTTCAGGTTAACTGCTTTTTCCATTAATTCCGAAAGTACGCATATAAATGAGATGGGACGATAGTGACTAGAAAAGGTTTTCTTGCCCCTTTTCAGGATGGGCTGCACTCTGGTACATTTGCATAAAAACAGGAAAACACCTCGACTGTAAGACAGTGAACAGTTTGCAGAGAAGCCAATATTTGTGCGCAAGTTTTGAGGATAATTGGTGGAATGCCGTCGGAACCAGGAGATTTCCCACTGTCAAGTTGCAGAAGAATTTTCCTAATAGTTTTAGGTCTGAATACAACGTTGTCCATGTAAGGACCAATGTGTGGCAGTACCTGTGGCGCTCGGGCATTGTCCACCATCGTGGAATTGAATGCAAATTGTTTGGCAAAAAGATCACACAACAACTTCAACACGACCTCGCAAGTTGGTTTACATCTTAATTTACATTATGTTTATGTAATGTCCATAAATGCAATGTCTTCAGAAATTTCCACAACTGTCCAGGTTTTATTCTCTTGCTTCTATGTTTTTTTTTATTTCACTGCATCATCATATTTGGTAATTCGGAAGGCAAAGTCCTAACCAAAAGTGCTATCATTAGGTTTGCATCTTTGGTACAAGTCCTTATCGTCGTTATTCAATTAAAAGTCTTGTAGAGATGTTGATATATTTCTTATTGCCAAGCTGTGGGTTTTAATCCCCTGGTTTTTGTTTTAACTCCTTCTGTTGATTGAATATTCAGTGTATTCTTGTTGTTCAGTCATTATTCTAACAACTACGTAATAAATCCACACATCTAGATGCGAAATGACAAATTGAGAATCCGAATTTCGTTTGTGATGACGATCGTAATAATTTATACAGTAAAGTTTCCTCTATTGAAACTAAACAAGTTCCAGTTTTGTTAAAATTATTCCAACCAATTATATTCCAAATAATTTAACATTGACGACAATGTAGTAAAAGCAAGCATATAGTAATGACAAAAGAATTCCAATAAATAAATACCTAATAACCGAAACCGGTTGTGGCCATTTGAATATTAACACTTCGGGTCAAAAGTAACAAGCTTATGTATTATTTCACAGATCTATGAGGCTAGGTGGGATACATAAAACAAGTAATTAGCAGTGATTAGACACAACTTCGTGCTTTGCTACCGAAATACTCCTCGCTGGCTCTAATTGGTACGGCAAACCGATTTTACCATTAACCTGTTTGCTATGATCTTATTTTTATGTATGCTTAAAACTGTTCGGACTTGTAGTCACTGAGGTTATACATACAACAACCAATGTATTTACACTTTTTGGTGAACGACTTTGGACATTATTTTGCTGCTTGAGTCAACTTTGAAACAATTATTTACTTATGGGAATAGAATAATGTCGAAATTTTAAAAGCCATGTCTAGGATTCAGCAAGTCTATGTTATTATAGATTTACGAACTAAGAGATTTACGAACTAAGAGCCCTTATGTAAATGATGAATGATGAATTTACTCAACCTTTCACAGCTTCAATGTTCTCTTATATGAAATTCTCAACTTACACCCTTTATCTAAACAAATATGAAATAGGTAGTGTAGACTTGCTGATCCGTAGATGTAGTCAACTTCTAAAGTAAACTCTAAATTACTTACCTAAAGAATTAAGTCCATAATGAGCTTGATATACGGTACTAGCCGCTGAGCTAGTTATGGGTAAAGTTGAACCTAAGCTAGAAGTTTGATTAAGTTGTCCTAACGTTTGACCAAAACCACAAGTTGCTACTCCTTGACCTAGCTGTGAAAGACCTGAAAAAATAATTCAAATTTAAAAATTATCTTCTTCAATATTGAATAAGCTAATTATAAATAATTTATGGGCGTAATTATTATTCTGCATTGGCACAATCCAAAATATTAAAATATTATTTACAAATTAATTAGTGCGTCGGTTAAAATACGGAATCTAATTGGTGATTATTGTTCTATTATCGATTTATTTTGATATTAAATGAGTGGGAAATTTATCTAATTAAACGTGTACATATATACATGAAACGATATTACGTTGAAAAAAAAACCGACTCGGATGGAGTATATTAGGGGGAAGCGATTTGCATATGAATATGGATAATAATTGTTTTTCATTATTGGTTAAACTTTTGTTAACGAATGAATGGTTAGAGCTGGTTTGTGATTTCACTTTCTTTCATTTTATATAGAGTTTCAGTCCTGTAAAGGTTGAGCTATAGTTATAAGTATAACTGACTTAACTACAAAATAAATAACTACAGATTAAAAGTCCAGGTTAGGTTTTAATGGATTTACCCTACAAATATGCAATCAATTTTATCCTCCTTTCTCTGGAGGTTTTAAAAATCATATTGATTACCAACAATCACAAGAGTGGAGATGTCACTCTTCCTGATTGTTCTTTTCCTTATGGTATTGTCACAAATTTCTGGATAAATGATTCTGGTTTTCGGCATTTTTATTATCCATCGTATGACGGCTGGTTCTACCTTCAGGTGCTCAATGGATTTTTCAATTGACCCAATCATTACATTATTAAATGCATCCTTTACGTCCAGAAATGCACCTAGTGTGTACTCATTATTTTCAAGAGATTTTTCAATTGTTCCAACTACTTCATGCAGTGCACTTTCAACTGACCTTCCTTTAAGGTATGCATATTGGTCTGGGCATTGCATGTTTATTCCCGTTAATTCTCTAATGTGTAGATCAATCAGCTTCTAGCAGGTAGGTGGGAACGATGAAGACATGAGAAGCGATAGGAGAAGGATACTATTAAAAACTTACTAGTGGCGGAAAATTATGTGGATGAGACAGAGCAAAGGAAGAATTAAATCAAAATACTACAGGCAAAACTTTAAAAAAGAGACATTAAAACAAGACAGCTCATTCATTGCAAACAAAGAAAAAAAATACAAGATTTAATAAGGTTTGTAGTATGGAATGTGAAAGGCAAGAATGAAAAGAAGCAGAAAGTGGATGCGATCATTTCCTGCTTAATGATATTCAGAAAGAAACAAAAAATATAAATAAAAGAAAAGAAACATTAAAAAGTAAATTAGACTAATGAAGCTGCATAAGAAAGAACTTGCTGAAGATATAAAAACATATGTGGGACTACATAATGTTGTTGATGGCACCTTGAAAACGATGTGATAATGGAATGATTGGGTCAAGGCAGCAAGGAAGGAAAAAGAAACATGGAAAGAATATCTACAATCGAACTAAATATAAAGAGTTGAGAGCAGAAGGATAATCAAGAAGCAAGAAAAAATAATTGGAAAGATTTAACACAAAATAACACCTTTGAAAGAACGTGAGTGAAGCAGAGATTTTATTGAGAGAGTTGGAATCAGATATAGCAAGATATATTTTGTTTGATCAGTGCTGACACTGCAACCTTCCAATCATTCTCAGCACGATTTTTCATCATCAATGGCGGAAATAAAAAGAAACAGGAACTTTTCCAACAAGCAGTGGCATATGGGGAAAATATGAAGATATAATTGAGAAAAGGAGCAGAAAGTGGATACGATCATTTTCTGCTTAATGATATTCAAAAGAAAACAAATATAAATATAAGAAAAGAAACAATAGAAAGGAAATAAGAATAATCAAGCTGCATAAGAAAGAACTTGCTGAAGATATAAAAATATATGTGGGACTACATAATATCGTTGATGGGACCTTGAAAATGATGTAATAATGGAACGATTGAGTCAAGACAGCAATGAAGGAAAAGGAAACATGGAAAAAATATCTACTATCGAACTTAAAAGAGTTGAGAGCGGAAGGATTATCAAAAAGAAAAAAAAAATAAATTGGAAAGAGTTAACACAAAATAACACCTTTGACAGAACGTGAGTGAAGGAGAGAGTTGAAATTAGATGTGGCAAAACATATTTCATTTAATCAGTGCTGACACTGCTAACTTCCAATCATTCTCAGCACGACTTTTCATGATCAATGAATCACTTAAAAAGTCTTTTTGTCTGTTTGACTGTTTGTCTGTTTTTCTGTTGTATTAATTTATAATTTCCTCTTTAATTCTGAAACGGTGATTTTTAAAACATCTATCATTATTTTTGTATTCACAATGTTTTATAAACCTACCTATATGTATACAGAAAATAGCCATTTTATGATCATTTATCAACTTGTTATTTATTGGGCACTCTACTTCCATAAAAAAATTACCAGTAACTTTTAAAAAATATACAAATACATACAGGGTGTCCCACTGAGGTCGGCCAGGTACGATATTATAGAGACCATAGATCTTACATAACTTGGAAACGAATGCAGATATTGAATTGCGGTTTGCGCCAAAATGTAGATATTTTTTTGCTCTTTAAACACAGCAATACAAAAATAATATTATGCCATTTGGATTTTTCATGAGAAGTAGAAAAAACTGGATCTTGAATAAACAGCGCCCTCTAGAAGACGCGGTGGAAACTATCGACCTCGAACGAAGTGGTGTTCTTAATAACAATGAAATTCTCTTCCAAATAAACCCAAATTGAATGAGTTTGAATGAGGGGTATGGAAGATACAGCAATTTCTAAAAAAAAAAAATTCACCAGCTTCCCCCCCCCTTATTACTGAAGATACGAAAAAAAGCCTAATAACCAAACTGGCGCAAAAATTAATGAAGTTTTGATTTCTGTTGTTAAAACAGTATCTTAATATAGCGATTTCTTGAGAAAAGTTGAATTTTTAGCTATATCATCGTAATTGCGCCCCCTAGCGGTCATCCTAGAAACTTGAAAATAATTTCCATCAATTTTTCTTGGCCGATTTAGTGAAGAATAAAAAAATCCCGAAGCCGTAAGGTCTATGGTTTCCATAATATCGTACCTGGCCGACCTTAGTGGGACACCTGGTATGTATAAGAAAAATTACCTGTTGTCATTCCAGCTACGCCCCATCTAGAATCCGACGCCCCAAACATAGTGGAGCTACACAAACTGTCACCCATGGCTCCGAATGGTGGCAGACCATGGGAAGGTAGTAATGCTCCAGGCGTTCTGAACACGTTGGTGGTCTTCTTACGCTTCTTCCATTTGGCCCTTCTGTTTTGAAACCACACCTGAAATAACATAAGGATGTTTGAATCAATTCATTTTTATTAGTTTACTAGCTGACCCGGCGAACTTCGTTCCTCCTCTGAATTATTAAATACCTATTAAATGTTGTGTTAACGTATCTAAAGTGCGTTTTTTTTTAAAGATAAAAGTCAAAATGACATTATGTTGGCAATACAATGTAAAACTGTCAATGCTTTCAAAATTTTTATGTAGAAAAGGCTTGTGTTGCCAACATAGTTACTAAATTTTTGAATTAGGGAATTATCTTTAAAAAAAAAACAGATTTTATTAACTGAATTAAATTCAGTTTTTTTTCGATGGTGAATTTGGCTTTGGTTGAAGAAAATTAATTTTTACTCTCTGGATCAGAAGTCGCCTAAAATTAAAATTTTACATCATCCCTTTTTTGGCATCATGTGGGCCTATATTATTCTTATAAAGTCTACCACCAAATAAATAAACTCAGGCACAAGAATGTTCAAAAAATGTAAAGAAAACAAAAAAAATCTTCAGCGCAGCCCTGTTTCATTTTATCTGCACTGCAATACTCCATCTGTTCTACTGTATCTGCACTATTCTATCTGATCTACTCTTTCTGCACCACTTTATCTGATCGGAATAGTGGAATAGTTCTGTTTGGAATAGCTCCAGTTCCTTAGCAGTATTCTGTTCTACTGTATCTGCAATGAAATTACCGCACAACGGCGAGCTTCGTTCTAGGTACCTATCATATATGGCGTCGTATACAAAATGGTTGTGGCGGACTCATAACCTGGCTCTCTGCCACTCGACACCAGCCGGACGGAGCACTCCAAACAGTCGGCACGGAACACGGCTATCAAGGGATGCCTAAGAGGAGAAACGGAACTTAGCCACAGAACGTCAATGGTCAAGCGTCAAGAAATGACAGGGAGACCAGTTCGCGCTCTTTCGGAATGAACGAACCAACAACAAAATAAAATACACAATTAAAACATTGTCTTTCTATTTATTTTTGGACATTTTTACTGTGAAGAACAATTAAAAATAAAGTGCTTTCCTCAAATTGTTTTTGTGCAAAGTGTGTGACAATAAAATCCACATGGTTTGCATTGAAAATGTGACGGTAAACTTGGTATCGGTTATAAGAGATGGCGCCGTATGCGGGCTTAGTGAGTTTTTTTCATAAATAAGTAAAATAGATATTGTTTTTTTTTTTTTGAATTTTTTCGATTTATTATCGTAGGATGGACAAAGACAAATCCAATAAAGCAAAAATCATAAAAATCAGTCCAGCCGTTCTCGAGTTATAAGTGCTCAACACCAACACAACTGTGTTTTATATATGTATATAGATTATAGGTACTCTTTGGAGCCAATATCAGATAAGTTATTCTATAAATCTTCTCAATAATTCTGCCAACTATAATGAATGAGAATATGATGACGGAGTGTTCAATGAAGAAAAAGTGGAAGTGCGTAAGGCCAAATAAACGACCACCAATTATTACCAATCGAATAATAGTCTAGTAAATATTTTATTGCTTCTAATGCCCTAGGGAATTATTATTCTCGATCAGACCTGGATAGTGAAAATATACCTGGAGCTGATAGGTATTTGTATAAAGTTCAGAATCATTTTTGATTTTTGTTTCCTCACGTGGATTTTATTACATACTTTTATATTCCTTCCTAATCTAATTCCAATGTAAATTTTTCACCGTGTGTTGTCTAATGGTACTATTTCTGTGCCATTTTTATTTTATTTCAAATTACAAGCGTTTCTGCGAGCGGCGGCGTAGCTTCTCGTAAGGCTTTCTCCGATTTTCACTAATTTCTAGCATTTGAGAAAGAAATTCTTTTGAATTCCAAGATGATCACATTTACCCACGACTATCGAAGTGTACCTATGTCAAATTACAGACCTATATCCTTGTTTTCGAGCATTTCAAAGATATTAGAGGAAATACTTTACCTACCGTTAATGTCCTTTCTAAACACAACCAATATTTTGAGTAAGGATTGGTATGGGTTTTTACTGAAAAAGTCTACAACCGAGGCTGTTTTTGACTTGACGAAAGATGTATTAATGGCTCTTGACCGTGGTCTCTGTGTGACTGGATTGTCTTGCGATTTTGAAAAGGCACTTGATAGTGTGAACCACCATAATTTGGTTCTGAAATCTGAGCAACTTGGGATCCGAGGAGTCGCAGGGAACATTCAGTAGCTATCTAACAGACAGATGGCGGATGACAGTCTTGAAGGGCGGTGCTGGGGATTCAGTTCAGGTTTCTCGAGAAGGCGTACTGGTCAGCGGAGTCCCTCAGCGCAGTGGCGTATCCAGGGGGGGGCAAAGGGGGCAATTGCCCCCCCCCCCCCAGAGCAATAACCTTTCATTTCTTAAAAATACCTCGAATAACAAAAAATAATATTTTCTACTCGCGTGCTCACAGTTATAACTTTGCACACTCATTTGCGTGCTAAAAGTTGTGTTTCTGGATAAACTAATATTCAAAAAGAAGGGCTTGATGTTATTTTTGTTCCAAGAAAGGCTTTCAGGTAATGTTTAGCATTTTTAATTTGACACTTGCCGTATGAGAGGCGAAGGAGGAAAAATCTAGCAAAAACCAGGTATGATCGATGATAACGCAAGCAAAAATGGACAGGATATTTTGGGAAGATGCTGTACTTGCTATGTAAAACTAATTCAAAAAGTCACATGAAAAAATAATCAACCTGTTAAGTTTAGTCTCAAAATTTGGCAGGAAAAATAAATTCTAAGTAAACCTTGCTAGCACAACCACTGTTGCAAATAAAGTCAAGGTGATCACTGAAAAAAAAAAAAAACACATTGAACTACGAGCGAAAATTACCAGTTTTGAGCATCTGGAAACATTCAAGAAGATTAGGTACAGCTGCTTTGGATGCTATGGCTATGCAAATCTTCAAACACTCGTAGAAAAAGTATTGTTTTTAACACTTGCGCAAGTGTCTTTCCCGCACTGAAAGCTTATTTTTGCGCACTTGCGAATATGCCATCAAGATGTGTGTGTGTGTGTGATTTTAACAACTTTTGGGCATGGCACCTCAAAAAAAATTCCGCCTCCGGCGAACATCAGGTGTGCCCCCCCCAAAGCCCCAGTCTGGATACGCCACTGCCTCAGCGGGTTCTGTTTTGGGTTCCCTTCTCTTTTTAACATACATAAAGGATTTACCGCTGTGATGATGATGTTCACGGATGACGCGTTGCTTTTGGCAGTCGCGGACAGTCAAGTGGTAGCAGAGAGGAGGACCCAAAGCATAATCAACGATGTAAAGGATTGGTGTTCCTATTACCAAATCAAAATAAATATAGATAAAACCGTATAGCTATTAGATTTAGCTTGTCAAACAGAAACACTGCTGATGTCATCCATAACACAAACTCTATATTCAGTTTGGTTACTCTACGAAATGCTTAGGTTTTTACATTGACGTATGTATTAAATGGTCTCTGCACATTGAAACACAAAATCGGAAACTAAACAGATCGTGCTATTGTCTTAAAGTGTTGTCAGCTAAAAGGTTAGATCTCGATTTGTTAAAAACATTTTACTATGCAAACTTCCATTCAGTGATGGGCTATATGGTATTATGTTATGGGGCTAGTCAATCAATATTTATCATTCAGAAGCGAGCCATTCGAAGAATGTTAAGAATGAAACCTACTAAGACCTGTAAACCCAGATTTATACAGTGAAATATTTTAACCTTGCCCTCTGTATATTTTTGCTTGCACGAAATTCGTATATCAGAACAAACATAAATTCGGGTTTTTCGAATCAAATACCCCGACAGGCCAAAAATACTATAAGCCTGGAGAGACAATCACCAGCAGCATATCAAAAATATTATTTCTATATGTGTGGTAAGCTTTACAATACACTTCCGAATCGGTATAAAGAACTCTCTTATAAATAAACTGAAAAAATTATTGATATCCAAAGCTTATTATGCTGTAGAGGAATTCTTAACCGATAATTTTAGTCGTTGAGTTGTTGATAATCGTAGATAAATATGAATTTGTTATATTCTTCTCTCTACAACCTATCAGTAATTTTTTCTCTATGTTATACTTTCTTGCTTCTTCTTTGTATAGTTTATTTAATGGTAGGTGGTAGGTAATACTCAATAATTTATTAAAATGTATTGTCATGAAATACTTATTACTTTTTTATGCCTATATTTTTTGTGTACTTACCTTCTTAATGCTATTTTTGGAATACCTATATCTATATAGTGTAGAATTAGATGTATTTTAAAGTAATTATTAGTGAAAACAGCATAGTATAGTGGACAAGTGTTATCGAACATACTTCAGAGCGCGATCGTTTAAAGTTTATTGTACAGTCTCATACCTGCTTCGTCGTAGCCTATAAAATTTCAATGTTGGGCTATTATTGCATGACTGAAAAACTTTTTCGTCAGAGAAAACTATATTGCTCCAGAAATGTTCAGGTTCTTGGGAAAATAACTGGGCAAACTGTAATCGGCACTGTCTATTTCTTTGCACTGAAAATGGTTTACGAGCCGCTGAATGACATTCAAGTCCAGTTTCCTTAATAGGCCTTCGCGCCCTTCGCACAGTTCTAGCTGGAGCTGGGATACTACTCAATTCTTTGGCTCTAATTTCCGAAATAAATGGATATGAAACGACCTCATCAAGAAGAGATTGATCCTCTTGTCGAATTGTTTTTCTTGGTCGTCTTCGTCGTTGTAGGTTCGTGATAGAAGCAGTTTCAACCCATTTTTTCTTCAAATTCATAATTATACTACTTCCACAACCAAGCGTTAAGGCGACTGCGCATATAGTTTTCCTTTGTGAAATCATTAGAATTGCTTTGGCTTTTTCATCGTTGGTTAAAATATGGTACTTTTTTTTTCAATCTTCTTTAAAAACTTAATAAAACTGTTCTAGTTCGCCACTGACTTATCACTTTGACACAGTTTTGGCATTACCGGCTTGTTAAAAAAGTCAGATTTT